TCCTTCTTTTTATGCAGAGGATGCAATTTCATAAGAAATTGGGAATTTCAAGTTGGCACAATGCCTTTAGATGGTTGTCCTTCTACAGATGTGGAGGGAAGAGGGGAGGAATCAGAACTCTCAAATTGATCAGAACCTATATAATGCTTTCCTCTTATGAGGCTTAAGGTGTATTATCCTTGACATATACAAATGCCCAAACATTTTATCATATCCAAAAATCATATGCTACAAAGTACGTTAGAAGTTATTAAGTACTGACATTAAGACTCTAAACTAGCTAAAAAGTACATCTGATACTGAAGACCTAACATCCAAAGTTTTAAGTCTCTGCAGTGAAGCATCATGAAGATCACTACTCAACAAAATTACTGTGATATGATTTTTAATCACAAGAAGGAAAAGAAGTTATTTTCATTTTACTGTTGTTCCCTGTGAAATCTGAAAAATTGCAACTGAAAATTCCCTCAAAAACTTATCAGGCAAACAAGTAAAACATTTTGGGTCAAGTGATTTAAATTCAGCCAAAGTGAAAAACACCAAAACTAGGCTTATAGTACTGATTATTACAGAAATTAATACCTATTTTATGTAAAATTTGTAATTTTCATATTACGATATTGCCAAAATAAAACTACCAACCAGCTCCAGCTGACAGCTCCACAAGTAGTGACTAGCAGGCTAAAACCACCTGATGGAACACCAGAAGTGCCAGTGCTTCTGGATTTCACTACAAAAGATGTAACAGGAGCTTTGTGACTCTCCACTCTTATTCGGAACCATCAAATCTCTTTTCTCAATCTTTCCTCTACTCCTTGCTCCTAAATTTTAGCCGGTTTGGTCCCCTTAAATATTGGTGGAGTTGCTCTTCAGCATTTCTTACAGGGAAAGCAGAACCAAGGACCCTTAATTCACATTTTTTGGTGGTTATGCTTTCTTTCACTATCTCAGGAAACCATCTGTAAAGCAGACAGAATACTTTCCAATGCTATTATATGTTAGAAAGCTTAGCTGATCATCTTTACACAGCTTGCTAAAGGCTCCTGGATGAAAGGTGCTATATATGAAGATTATTATCTGATCAACTGCCTACACATCACTTAAGAGTAACAAGCACCAAACTGCTACTGAGGGGAAAGAAGAATACAAGCACTAGATACAGTCCAAGCAGAAAATATTTCCTTTTTTTTTTTTCCCCCTTTTTGTCCAGTACAGATCTGAAAGTGCACTTTGTTTTTTAAAGGTCACTCTTAAATGTCCAAAAGTAATGGAATGAAGTGTTTCAGTTCAGGTGACATCACTTTGCAAGTCAACAACTTCTCCTTCCTCCCTGGTGTCCATTATGAAAGATTTGTAATTTGTTCCTGTTTTTTCTCTGCTCTTCATTAAAAGAATATGCAGAACAAGAAAGAAGGGCTATTTGCAATGACTCTAACAGTCACCATCTCACCTCCTGGAAGTGAACTAACACAGGAGAGTTGGGAGGGGTGTGACCAAGCTGGCCATCTTTGAAACATAGGTCTTCATTGTATGAAGGATTTTCATCAGGAAAAGGCACTCATGATTAAAATCTCACTTGGTATCCCCACAACTGCCACCATTTTGGCAGAACAAAGCCACATGCAAGTTACATCACACAGATCCATGTGCGAAGCACAGAGCCACATTTGACAGGCATGCTCTACCCATGTAAGAGACAGCAGCCACAGGTATTTTTATTCAATGCCCAGTGAGAAAAAGCGGTGCAGCACTGTACAGAATGAGACCTCAGGTGTTCACTGCCCAGAGCACTTACACAGGGCACACAAGGCTCAGGTTTTGGGTTCTCTGCCTATGGATGCTCTAACCCTCCCACGATGGTGACCACACTGCCATGGGGGCAAGCTCTGCCTCTCACTGAACCTGTAACACTGGAGAATTGAAGTAATTTGTACAGTGAAATAGAGGGAAGGAAAAAAGCTCAAGGAAAAGAGGAAGGGGAAAGGAACACCAGGGGCTGCTACTTGAGAATTCACTTAGGACAACAACAATCTCAACAGTCTTAGTTCTGGCTTCTGCTCCCAAGATCATTTACCCATCTCTACAAGTCTTGTCTGTGGAGTTGCCCATTTTAAGACAATTAAGCATCAAGAATTCCTTGTTCTGCTTTTCACAGCAAGGTCTGGAATTCTACACTACTGTTAGAAACTAAGCATCGTTAAGCTGATGTAGTTATTAGTACACCACTAATTACTGTTTGGCAGTGTTGCAAAATTCTAAATCTCACTAAAGAAAAAAATTAAAAACATTCTGCTTAATCACTGCTTTAACCATATTCCACATCAAAAAGTATCTTTCTGAGCATTTAGATCCCAAATCTGACCCTTCTCTGCTTATATAAAAGTTTATGGGCACAGGTAATACAGAAATTTACCACACAACAGCAACTGAAAGAAGTGACTGTATGAAGCAGTCCCAGTGTATCTTCCACAAATGAAAAAAAAAAGAATGACTATGTGGTTGTTCAAGCACTTGGAAACATGTCAGTAAACAGCCCTGATAGCCTTTGACAACAGTCATTTATGTCACAGAGGCCAAAAACCCTTTTGCAGTCCTGTACCTGGCAAGGAAAAGTGCTATTTATTTATCACCAGATGCCTTGGATGATTCCAGAAATAGCCTCTTTCCCATTGCTGCTCATTACCAGCAGCTCTATGAATTGAAACACATTTGGGTTTTTCTGAGGAAAACTTCTACAGGATGTTCTGAAAAGCTTAAACTGTTCCTTTAGGAAACAAACCCAGCAACCCAACCATCACCCACACAGACTGCCTAACCTAATTTCACACAGGAACACATTTGCTTCATCACTGAAAGCCCAGATAGCAAGAACTCAAAGTCTGCCAGACATCTCAAAGGCACAAATGTTCACGTTACAGTAACTCAATTTCAATTCTACATATATTCCACCCAAACCATGTAGAGCAGATTTTTCACTTTTTCTTTCAACAAAGATCAGTGCTAAAAGGAAAAAACTGAACCCTTCATAAAACCAACACTTTCAGACTTCAAAAGTGGTTTATATACACAGAAATTGCTTTATAAAAGAAGCACACACTAAGAATGGAGAGACACGTACAGGTCCATTAGTTTTGGACCATACAAATAAGCAATGATTTTAAAATCCACCCAGCTTTCTTTAATTCAAAAGCATATTTTCTAGGGCATTGTCTATGCATAAATAGAACAAATAGTAAGAACAGATTTTTGCTTTTGTAGTCTGCTATGGGGAAATCCCTATGAAAAAGGAGGAACTACTTCAATTATGATTCTGTAACTAGCTACAGAAATGGTAGTTTGATCCAACTGAAAATACTATCCTTCATTCATAAGGAAAACATCAAGTCTTTAGAAGCAACCTACATCTATGGTAAATGCTAACCTACTGATCAGCCTTGAGAATTGCAAAATTTTTAAATATTATATCAAGAAATATTTCTACATTATCATATCTATATTGTAGGGACAAAAAAAAATGACCATGTGCTGATCTTGTCTCTTTAAAAACAACTTTAAAGAAAAAGAACCCCAACCTGCATTAAACTGTTCTCTGCAAATAATGTTCTCTGCAAATACTGTTAAGACCATAACACACAACACAGAATATAAGAATGTGCGCACTTCTACACAATTTTTAACCCACTGGAAAAAAAATTAGCTTCCTAATTGCAAGGCAACACCTATCAATTCCTCCATTAATCAGGATTTTAGATTTGCTATGGAACTTCAGAGTTTCAGGTTAAGCCCATGGAATGTAAGTTTGAAGATCTATATAAATCCTTGATGTAATCTTCATTAAGGTATGCAGAACCCTCTGCAAAATATCTAAGCTCTAGTTCTCAAATTAGGCTGTGTCAAAACTTAAATTAATTTAGAATGGATAATAAAAGTGGGATGAGTACTCATGACGTATACACAAAACACATCAATGAGCTTAGAACTCAGTTGCAACGGTGACACCTAAGGGACTTGGGAGCAGAACAGAAAAAAAATTTGCTCAAAATAATCAAACAGTAGGTCCCTCTAGAAAATTTAGAGAAATCAATAGCATTTACAAAAAACAACGTGCTTTTTTTTTGGCAAGCAACAGAAGCACAGATCACTTCACATTACATGACCTTTAAGTAAATACTTTAAAATATACCCTCAAAACTAAGATGGACTTAATTAAATTCCAGTGGTTTGATTTTACCTTACACATCAATTAAAAAATAAATCTTGCAATAGTTGCAATACATCACAAAACCAAATGGTAAGGACAGAATAATTTAAGGTTAGACTTAATACTGTGGGATGACAATTTGAGTTGGATACTTAATATGCACCGTGAATTAAGATGGAGATTGTCAGCACCATCACTGCAGTATTTTTAAAATTATATCTGAATGCTGTAATTACTTACACAAGCAGTTGTACATTAAGCAGTTAAAAGTACAGTAGCATCAATAAAAAACCTTTGTAGTAACACCAGATAATGAAGTCTGAAGAGAACCTTCAAAACTCTCAAACTCTGCATCTCTTCATTAACTGCAGTGTTATAGGTGGACACTGAGGTGTCTTTTTGCCAGTTGAGTAACCCTCAGTGTTTATTGCCAGCAAAGTCTGATAGCTTTACTAAGATTTAGGAACACGGTAAAAAAATAAATCACTGTTGCACATCAGTGCAGTCACATGTAGGAAAATAGATGGATGAGGAAAAGGAAAAAACCAGGAAGAAACAGCAGCAGCAAGGGAAGAATAAAGAATCTAAATGGAATATGAAGGTAAACTTCCAGGACTTTCATTTTATCATTCTGCTAATGTCTGTTGCATTTCTCCACCAAGCTTATATACCTTTAAAAATTATTATCTCGCTATCAACAACATAAGGAACCTTAACATGACTAAGTTTTTGGGTGCTAGTCATGCTCAGAGAATAAAACGTAACTTTAAAATTCTTAGAAGATGGTATGAATAATTACCCATGCCAGTTCCAGCTGGTGCAATCTCTTTGGAGAAGATTTCTACAGCTTCTCTTTGTTTATGGTGTACAGCAAGCCAAATAACAGCTTCCCGAGGACCCTGCTTCAAAAAGGTTCAAATTAGATTAGATTAGATGTAAAACATCAGTTAAATTTACAAAACTGAAAAATAACTGTAGCTCAGCATTCAAAGTAATTAATTCGGTGACTTTTTATCCACCATCACTATGATTTGCTGTTAACTTTTCGTTGTTTTTGTTTTGGAATACCATGCAATCAACAATTGGGTGTTTCAAGTCAGACACCGTGCTTTTTCTCCAGCATTCTCCAGGAATCAAGTACTGTAACTAACAAAACCAAATACTTGGCTTCACTGTCGGTAGAACTGGCAAACCAACTTTTTATTTATTCTATTCTAAGTGCACTGAAAGTACTCTGGGGCCAAGTTAAAGAGCCAGGTTCACTTCCCTTAGCATCAAGAAGGAAGCAGATCTGTACACAGAAAAGAGTTCAAACCTAATCCTTGGGAGATAAATGTGAGAACAGAACTTGTGAAAACCACCACATTTTCAGAGAGAAGAGCAGATGCTCCCTCTAAAGGTAAACAAAATCAGTACTGTGCTCCCTACTCTAGTCAAAACACCTATCCTTGCAGATAAGCTCTGTCTCTCACTTCAAATTTCCAAAAAATTCTATTTTCAGCCACTGAAGGATCTACCATTGGAAGCAATACACAAAAAAATGCAGCCATACAACAAACCAAACAAATGCACAGTTTTAACATTCTGTGTTCTTAAAGCTATCACAAGATTAATAAAATTACTACAAATAATAATCAACCAGAAACATTCTTGCAAAAAACCATATCTGTGCATTTGCATCTGCTTTCTGTTTCTAAACTGGACCATATAATCAACATTCCATTTAAAGTTTCATTTTTACCTCCTTGTCTGCAAATGCAAGATACACTGGTCTATAAAAATAAGCTGAATCCTGTTTTGAGTGGAGAAACCCAGTATTAAAACTGGGTATATAGGCTGAAGCCATTAATCTTACAGTATCAGAATTAAAAAAAAAAAAACAGCAAAACTAAGTCTTAATGTCTTGGAAATCAATTAACAAAGAGTTAGCAGAAAAGTAAGAGAGCACATACGGTTTTTATGTAGCAAATGCCTGACATACCATTAATAAATAGCCTTTACATGAAACACATCCTGGATTTCCAAACCACAAACTCACTGATGCTGTGTCACTGTCCTAACTCCTTCCTCCTCAACATAACAGGAGATACTAAAATCAAACAGCATTAGAATTACTCAGTGTTGATTCAGATCCCTTTGTAGCTCCCACTGAGCTGCTGCTGACAAAGCAAGCTACCGGAGTGACAGGCAGCAATCATATCAACAGGCAGAGAAGTCTGAGAAAAAGAAGTGCTTGCCATTCTTTCCTGTTTCTCAAGGATATTTTGTGTTGTCAGGAACAGGCAATACTCCACACAGCAGCTCAGACTACAGAATGCAGGCTTACCTAAGGCTGGGAGACAAAATGATTTCACAGCTCCAAAGGCTAACCAACAACTGCACCAGACTGACAGATGTGCATGGGAATTAGTCCAGCCACATCATATATTGACACTGAGCTCCAAATATTGTTCAACTTACCCTGTCTTGGTGTTCACTTATGTATTTGCTTCTTTGTTTCACATTTAGGTAGTGGAATTTCCAAAGCAGGAACTATTTTTTTTATGTGTTAATATACTGACTAGCATAGTATGGCTCTGGTTTTGAGCACTGTGATTTGTAACCCAAATAACCAGGTCTAATTTTGCATGGAAAGACATGGTAGGAAATAGTGTTTAAGGGACTACATTATCCCTACCTGAAGCCCCAAAGGATAAATGCTTTCCTATGGAAATGGATTCTATGACTTTGTATTTTAAATGGAAAATCAACCTCCACTCCCCAACCCTTTTTCTCAAGCTACCATGGCTGCTTTCCAGATGAAAGCTCCCCTGGCTAGTGTCTTCTAAAAGAAGAGGAAGCATGAAGGGGGAAGGCAATAGAGTGATTTCCTGTATTTCAGCCTTAGCTCTCACATCCTGTTTCAAGCATGTATAAGAAGCACATACAATGGTGGTAACACTGTTTACTTTTGATGTAAGACCTGGGAACTGAGGGTGGAAATACAGAAAGTACTACAAATATTCTCTTTCATTTAAAAAATTTCTTTAATGTACTAAAAGCAAGGCAAACTGAATAATCAGGAGGGAGAAACTGCTCTTCTTCAGCTCATTACATTCACTTTGTACAGTGAGACAGAAAACTTCCTATATAAAAATTACATTAAAGAATATATTACAATGCGTAATGATAAGGAGTTGGCACAAACAGAACACAGACAAGCTGAACATCTGGAACATCTGCTCCTATGTTTCAGAATTTTGATTCTGCACTCTTAGTAAGATGCTTAAAATTGCAGGTTTTATGGTCCTAAAATGAAAAAGACCACATTATAAAGCTCAGTCTTCAGGAAGCAACTCTTGCTGCTTTGCTGAAGGAAATTGAAACTCAAGTACTGAAATGAATAGCTGCAGATGTAACTTCACCAATTTCTAAGAACACTAAATTTCACTAGTAAGAAGTCCACTGTCCTTTTCTACATCACATTCTCATTCCCTTTAGATACAAACTGTTGGTTATTAAATGTCAGCACTCGTAAGAACAAACCCAGAGTTGAGTTCTGCCACGTGTACCTTAAGAGTTTTGCAACACAGCCACTGACAAAGAAGAATGAAACGCTACTGTTTTGGAACAAACTAAACTGTCTAAATATTTAAACTGTGGCTAAGTGAGGACATGATTTACACTCTTTTTACTTTAAAAAGAATTTTCATTCTCTAGAATAGGAAAACAGACCATGGATATCACAATTGCGGTGGCTATGGCTATCATTCATATCCTTACATATGCAGTCACAGTGCAGAATTACATAGCTGAAGATTATTTCTTAAGTAGTACTCACCAACAATTTTGAAGTTGTGCAGGCAACATTAATGCTGAGATTTCCTGATTGCAACATTTATAATGTGGTCTTTTAGCATTACATCTAATGCAATTTAAGTCAATGCTACAGAAGTTATTATAATAAGGTATTTCTTTAGGAGAACATCAGAACAGAGTACAACAATATTTCTTTAAGATTTCATATCAGTGCTTCTGGAAGACCCAATACAGCAAAAACCTTGTCAGTGTTAATTCTGTACATTAAGTAGTGACAGTGAGTTCTCTGCAGCATGGAGGGGAAATTCCCAAGATGACAGTGACCTCCTTTAAAGTTGTGGAAAAGATAACAATATGGAAAGATTAAAAGAGGTCAGTTAAAGTTTAAGAACACTCCACTGCATACTTACACCATCTATACTCCTTCTAGCATGAGGTCCGTATGTATCTTCAGACCCTAAAACCTGTATGTTAACTGCACTGTAATCTTCATACCCAAGCTGACTGAAAATAAGACGAGTCCTGCAACAAAGGATTTTTTTTTTAATTAGTAAACTGTCTCAAAATGATTATCTGAAGTAGCCCTGTGTAGTCCACAGAAGTTAACCCTGTCAAGTAGCTGTATAAAAGATTTTATCAGTTGAAATATTGGGATTGGGATTTCTGTTAGGATATGTATTCTGCTTGGTGGAACAAGCAACATTTTTTGCTTTGGTGGAACATTTTGAAGACACTGCTAATGTATCATTGTTGTCATAATAAATATAACCACAGCACCTGAAATAGTGAAGCAATGTACAGGACATAATACAAAATACAATTTTTTAATTGCTGTAAAGAGATGGAAGAGTGTTCACGCATTACAAATGAGGCCACCCTTATTTTTGATGAAATACAAAAATAAGACAGACAACTTCATTTAAGGTAATGAAATTTGCAAACTGTGTCTGTATTAAATTATTTTAAATTATTTATCTTCAAACATTACAATTACTACAGATACTACAGTTCAAAAAATACTCTGGGCCATTTTAGCCCTTTCATGTGTTAGTAACACAACAGAGAATCCTGAAAATAAAAGGATCCCAGAGAACTATTTAAAAAAAGACTTCTTCACATACATATTGCCAAATTGCTTCTGAAATAATGTCCAAGGCCAAACATGAAATGGAAAATATACCATTCTATTTTTTTCCTAAAATAATCACCTAGCTTCCAGAAATATGGCTTTTTAGAGGTCCTGAGTCTTTGTATTTAACACTTCCTGAAGGGTTTTTCCATAATTTGATTTTCTCAATAGCTCTTGGACACAAGCTTTTAGCATTTGCAATTACACAGCCCTTATCAGCCTGCTCTCATCTGCTATATCTCTTGAGGGAAGTCATACAACTCCTCCTTCATCACAGTGCTGCACAGAGGCATGTGAACAATCACCCCAAGTTCACAGTAAACCCTGGATTTCTGGCTTTCCAAGTGTAGTTTCTGCATGGATCTACAACAGGATGGGGAGGTAGCTTTGTATAAAACATGGCACAAGGAAACAGATCTCTTAGCTAGAAAGACTAGAGCTACTGGAGTAAGCACTGAGAGATTCCTGATATGGAATTATATTTAAGAGGAATCCTTCCTTGCCCAAATATACTGGCATAACAATACAACCGAAAGTTTATCACTCTTTTTTGTGAGAATTGTAACTCTGTTCTAGCAAAAAACCCCACGATCACTGGGTCACATTTAAGATGGTAGCAAAGTAAGCATGTTTTAAACACACACTCAGTAAACTTTCTACATTTCATATCAGTAAGACTTCCCACAAAAAAAGTTCTGTGAAAGCTGCTGAAAACTAGTTTCATATGGGTTTATCTCTGGCATCTAATAAAATTTAAATCTCAGTCACAGCTTGTTCCTCACTAACTTGGGTTTCTCTCCAGCAATCTATTTTCAAACATACTTGGCACTTTTCTCACTCTGTCAAATTGAAGTGCAGTTATATACTGAAAACAGGTTTCTTGAAAAGGCTACTTAAGTCTTGAAATGTCATCCCAATAGGAAAACGGTAACTTTCTAGGATTCCTACAAGGCTAGTAATGTTGCCATCTTGTGTCACTATTCTATTTTCATCACCTCTGGAAAGAAAAAAAAGAGAGCCAGAACCCCTTCTGAGACTCAAACACCAACCTTTGCAGAATAGCTTCTGCAGTGCGTTTTGCTTTTTGTACTGCCTTTGGGCCTCCCACTGGACAGACAGCAGTAGCTCTGAAGCCATCAAGATAAGTGGCATTTACCTAATGATAAAGGGATTATGAAGTTAGATGGAATTCAGTACTGACAGGCTACTATAAATGCTCTCTGGCAATCATTATACAAATACACACTTTTTAAACAAAGTAACAGGTTTTTATGTATCAAGTAAGGTTTGCCTTTTCAAATTTTGCATCTCTTTCTTTTCCGCTTGGGGCAGAGAAGATGAGGACAGTGCTAAGCTTTAGCATTTTCACCAAAAGTAAAGATTTTGTAAAACAAAATAAATCTTTCACACCACAAAATGAGGTAATACCTTATAAAATGTTGAAGGAGGCAATCCTTTTGCTCCACAAACTTTCACTGCTCCACCATCAAAACCTATGGTGATTAAAAATCAGTGTTTTAGATTCTTCAATATAACTTCAAAGACATTCTTTGTGATACACATTAATCAGATGCAGTTAATTAAAAAGCAAATCACTGATAGCTGTACTGCCACAGACAAGAGAACCTTTCAGAAAACAGTCCTTCCTGCCTTAGAAAGAACAGCAGCAAACTGGTGACTGAATTTACGACTTCCATAAGCCTTTTCAAAAGGGCAAATGAAATGTTTATTCATGTACTTAGAAAATACTTAACAAAGAAAGCAGCCTTAGGACATGAGACTCAACAGTTATTTTCCTCTTAATATCCAGTTATTGCACACACACACACAGAGCATACAATTTACTGCTGGCTGGAGTGGACTGTAGTCCATCACTTGGTAAAGAATCAAAAGAAGATGAGAAAACAGTGGGAGCTATTGGTCGAGAGTTTAATAAGCAAAGGGTAACTTAACTTTAGCTTTCTTGTCAATAATAGAAACAAAAAATAAAAGCACAACAACCACGTTCAGTATTAGGAATATTAATGGAAAGAAAGAAAGAAAGAAAATGGAGAAAATTGCTGTGTTGGCATCAGGTTCAAGCTTGAGCTGGAAAATCAGCAGTGCAGGATCAGCACCTCATGTCTGAGAGACAGAATTTTAGTGTAGTTCACCTGTGCCTAACCTGTGTTCGCAAATATTTAAGAAGCAGTCCAAAGCTTTACACAAATACTCTGAAAAGATCAGATCAGAATGTATCTAAAATGTCACTAGTAAAAATTTTACACACCACTCAAATAACATCACTCCTTCTCAAGACTGACTAATGAGGTTAATTTAACTCTCTCAACCCTCCATTCTGGCAGAGTTTTATGTTCCAGGTGAAAGCATAATACAAAGAAAAAAAATACCACAAAACCAAATGCATAGCATCCATTGACAAAAAGAGAAAAAGCACCTCTCTGCTCAAACACTGCAAGTAATCCAGCAGGACAATAAAACTGGCAACATAAACAGCAAAATTAGATAGCTTGCCTGTTTTTACTGGTGTACGTGTCAAAGCACTTCAAACTAAAATATTTAAGCAATCTGCCCATTTTCCATCTGTTATATTTCTAAGAGGACTAACTGAAAGTTCATGTGAAAGTTCATTTTAAGTTCAAACATGTCATATCAGGTCATTTGCAAGCTAAAAGTTCATAGGAAGGTTAGGGTTTCTTTTTTTAAAAAGAAAAGGACTAGGGGCTAAGAGCAGCAAGCTGGCCTTATCAGACTGCCATTTGGTTATGTTGCATGAGCGGAAGATTCACCATACCATGTTATGGTACTTTATTACTCAAGTAAAATATTTTTTATGTTACCACATTTTCAGTTCTATCCCATTAAGTTCTGAATTTGAAATTTTGACTGTTCTAAGCTTTAGAAAGACACTCGGCATTCTGTCACAAGTAAGTTCCATTAGAAGGAAAAAAATATAATCTAGATGCAGTAAAAAGCAAACTTCAGATGATTGTAGATAATTTTTTTTTCATGCTGTCTTACTCAAATTACAGCTCTTTGAATCTGTTAAGCCTGGGGTTTTTTTATTTTCCTTTTGAAGCTAAATCCTGAACATACATTATATCCATCTTTAGTCTACTGGCTCTTAAGTGTTTTGAGGACTGCAAATGGAATTTTTAAAAAAAGATTCTCTGGTGGAAATCCTGTACCTAATCATGCTTCTGCCACTTACTATGATGCACCTAAATGTCTGAGAAAAACACCATTATCAAGTAGTGCTTTGAAAGACACAGCCCTTCATTGCTACCAGTACTTCAAATGCCCTAAGCAAACACATGTACAAAACATTTTTTTGAGAAAATAAATTTAGCTGTAGTTTAAAAACATAATGAAATAATAGTGAAGCTGTCTTGATGTTGTTCACACTGAACACATAGTTTAAGGACTTGAGACATGCAAGGCATGCATTAAAAAGTAAAGGAAAAGGAATAGTGATCAAAAATACAAATTAGCCAGCCAGCAAGGTAAGTAAGACTATGTTTAACATTTCTAAAGGAATTTCTAGCAGAAGTCCTTGAAAGTATCAGTTTACTACAGCATGACTCTAGGGAACTGATTTAATAAAAATATGCAGAGACTACATGGAAATTAAAGTAACTTCTTTTGTTTGATAACACACTTCACTGACACAGATATCTTTACGTGAAAGAGGACTAACCTGGAACTTCAGTGATGGAAACCTGGGAAAAGTCACATGTAACATCTGGTAAAAGATAGCGCTGAGGATTGCCCAATTCATACACCAACTGTTCAGCTACAGTGCCAAAAGAGATTAGTCCCCCTGTGTCTGGTGGTTTGGAAAGAATAAAGTCTCCTTCAGAGGAACATTCTACAATGGGAAAGCCTATGTTGTGCCTAGAATACGAAAAACATTAAGAAAAAAAACCTATAAATACAAAGGAAAAGTGAAAAGAAATATTAACAACAGAATTTTATAATGATGGCCAATTAAGAAAAAACCTGTCAAGAGTTATGATTTATCTGGTTGTTTCTACAGAAACATACATCAAAAAAAAAAGCCCTGAACAAACTGCTCAACTGAAATAATACAATGTAATCTATTGTCTGGTGAAGAAACAGAAATAACAAGAGATACCACCTGCAAACATGGATGTAGGGAAGGGAGTGGAGAAGGATACTAACAGGAACAGTTCAAGTAAAAAGAAATTAAAGAATTAGAAGACTATGGTTAAAGATGTAAATTTAGAGTAAAATAAACAATAGTTAATTCTAGCCCCATTTGGCTATAGCAGCACACACAGCATGACAGTGAAGACATCTAAATACACCTTGCACTCTGGATTTGTAAAAAGGCAGTCAAAGCAGGAAGAACAAACTGTGCTGGGAACCTCCGAGATGAAGGGAAGTAGGAAACAGGAATAATCACACCTACAAAGGATAATTTCACTTGTTAATAATAAATTATGCACAGGGAAGTCATAATCTGAAAACAAAGACATATGAAAGGTAATATCTTCAGCACACAAGAAAGAACTAATAGAAAATTATGAGGCACAACAAAAAGAAAAGAAGTGAAATTATGGACATGTACATAAATTGAAATATTATTCTTCTTCCTCACATCCTTACATGCAAAATATACAAAAAGTGATCAAATAACTCATAATAAGAAGCACATACTGGTCATTACAGTAGGAGGGCAAAATTTTCAGGATTATGTGGACAAGATTCAGACATCTGCTTTTCTAGCTTTCATTTATTTACAGAGAATTTGAGCAAAATTAAGAACTTAAAACTTCTTCAAAGTACCCAAGAATTAAAATAAGAGTGCAAAAGTTCTAAAAAGGCTACCTGGCTCCCCTCCCTCTCCCAGGAAGTCTGAAATTTGTACAAGTGTCCCACAGGCATGAAATGAACACAAAAAGAGGAGTTAAGGAGATACAGTCCCTTGCAAAAGCTAAACTGTTTGAAAAAAGATCCCAATAATGAAAGGTGGTGAACTTTACCACACTCATTAAAGCAAATGACCTTCAGGTCTTTCATACAAACTTAAAACCAGTCTATCCCTCAATTTAATTATTTTTGGGTGGTAGTGGTAACAATGTGCTGAACATACAACTGAATTGGTTATCAGCAAAAGTTACTATCATGGTTACTATCACTATACAAGCTAAAGTTTGTATAACATAAATCCACAAAGTCTGGAAGAAAGTAAGCAAAAATACCAGTGAACTCTAAGGGGACATTTGTAAAAGTTCATGGGAGTTTGAGCAAATTCCTTATCATCAAGAATATTCAAACATAACTCCATTATTTTAAAAAAGGATTAAGACACAAGATCTGTTACCAGAGATCAGCAACTTTTAACACTTATAGCAGACAAACATGGAAAATACGGTAACTGATGGACACCTAGAAAAACCCACATCAAATCAGTAAAGATAATACTTCATTTGACTGGTCTCTGAAACTATTTACACCACTAAGATCTCAGAAACAAAAAAAGCCCACCTTAGTGAATGCAAAGAATTGAATAGAATCAACAATCTTATATACAGACTATTCTAGTTGGGGGTGGAGGGGAGGGGGCTGAGGGGAAGAGGAGAGTGAAAAGATGGTAGTAGAAAGTATGCAATATCCAAAATTTTAAAGTGTGACTTAGTAAAAAACAACACCTAAAAAACCCCCTCAATTTTTGGTCTTGAACATTAATGTATGGTAACAGTCTAACACGTAATTATCCCAATTTCAGATGCAAGGAGACACAGAGGAAGTACCATGATTTGGCCAGTGTAACAAAGCAGGATCAATGACAAACAAGGCTAGAATTAAGAAGTTTTTGCCATCTCAGTGCCGTGTTTGTGAGCTTGACCCTACCACCTACCTGTCCTGTCTTAAGGCAACAGCAGCAAGTGCCCTGCCAGCAGGCTCAAGGCAGCTTTTCAGATCACATACCCTGAAGAGACACCACTCCCATGAAGACAGATCACCTCGAGCAGCCCATCTCCCTGCACTGACAGCCAGTGTCCCTGCTGCAGGCCACTCTGATCTCAGTCATCAGCACATGCAACTCTTTAGAGTACTCCCCAGCCATCTTTGATTTTAAAGAAGAACTGTAGACTGAGTCTACTAACATTGATTCAACTTCATTTTGCCCAACTTCCACTCTCAAAACCCCCAAACCATTAAAAAAACAAAATCCAAATACAACAGTGAGACAAAGTGAGAAATTTCACCCCTTGATATGGTGAAAATACAGCAAATATTGGTCCCCCTGCAGAGCACACCACCACCCAACCAACTTTTCTGTATGGCCAGTTAGCTGCAGAAGATGTGTGTTTCCCCAGGTTATGCCAGCCCTGAAAGCTTTCCTCATTTTAACAATTCACAACATAGAGATGCAATGATCTGGGTAAGAAGCCCCTAGATTCTACCTGCATTGTAACTGGATAACTGGGAAAATACAAATACCCAGTACTACCTTGTAGCAAATGGCAGTAACAACCCACACTAACACACACACACTTAAGACAAAAATGTATTTTGTCAATTGCTAGAAGACATTACTTAAAATTTATTTTCACCTTGGAAATAAACTGGTCTGCCACTCTTATGATACAGTCAAATGGCAGCTACTTAAACCTTGCATAAAAAGCTCTTTAGCAGCAGTAGCTGCCTGGCTCAGGTGTACCACAGGTAGTATAGTCACACCATCACCGTGACCAGCACTTCCACTTCTAAAATAGTGACTCTTCACCTGACTCATTTGTAGGTTTTGCTGAGTAACTACACACCATATGACATCTGCTCAGTGGGGAACAAGCCCACTTTAGGCTGACAATAACCCATAGCCAAGGTGTATTTTTGTATAGTGTAGCAGGGGAGTAACCACAGAACTATAAAATTTAGCAGCAACCATGGTCATAGCATCCAAAGGTATCTTGGTTAAGCATCCTTCGATAATAAAATAATTGCATCAGTTTAGCGACAAAACCCCTATGCAGGATGAGGCAGTAGCAAGCAATGGAAACAATTTCAAAAGGGAACTAATATAATTAATACTAATTAAATTATATAAAATAATGAAATACAGTACTAGAGACAAATATCAAGTACTATTTTTAAAAATATTTAAGCAGCTCTTCTAGCAAAGGGTCATTATACCCAGGTAATACACATCAGTTTGTGAGGAGAGATGACAATTACCATTCTTTAAAACAGAAGGTCCATTTCAGGTTGCACTTTTGCTACTTAGCAAGAAAATATTTTATATTCTATATAACTGTATATATAATACATACATTAATAAACCAGAGCACTGAATGGGACCAAGCTAAGATTACTCCTCAGAAAACCTCTCCAACTGAGCCTAGACAAGAATTAACAGTTAAAGCAGTCTTAGTGAAGACTTACAGCACAGGAATAAACAAGTTAGAAAACTGGTTTTGCTACTGAAGCCACCATCTCATCAACCTACTCTAAAAGCAATCAAGAATCTAAGCCTCCTGTCAAGTCCTCTGCCTGCCAACAACTTACTCTCAGATTAATTTTTTCCATGTAAAATGTTGTTTTTTCTTCAGCTTTGGCACTCAGAAATGTTACAGTTTATGGGTATGTCACAGGTGATAAATAGAGCTGTCTAAGCAGGGATCTCCTCCCTGTCTACTCTGGGACACTATTCAGAAGCCTCTGAGGAGCCATCAAGATAAACTTCCTTCTTGTTTTGCCATACTTCTTACATCATTTCCATTACTAGAAAAGTAAAATCCATGACCAGTACTTTGGCTCAGGGAGAAAGGCATTACTTGAGACAGAACACGTATTTCTCTCCTCAAAAGGAGAAAGTCTCTCTCAAGGACTTCGTTCTAGCCACTACTGCTTGACTGAGATTACTGGCAACAGAAGATGGGACAGTGAGTGTAATACATTTACTAGCAGGGAAGCTGCTGCAAGAATGAAAACAAAACCCCACAGCAATGCATGTGACGTGGAAGTGAGCCAGGATCCAAGTAAGCTGTGGTATGAACTTTTAGCTTTACAGCTAATGCACTTTCCTGGGATGTGACTCCATGAATGTCACACAAGGAAAGCTCTAAGCCAAGCTTCTCAATTCCTTAGACATGTATTTTAACCAGAATGCTATTAAAAAAAAAGCAGAATCTCCTACCACTTCTAGCAGTGTTCTGACAACAGGTTCAAAACTGGTAATACATCAGGCAAGATCAGCACAAACTCAAAGTAAAGGTATAAGCATCTCTTTTTACATGTAGGTACCAAATTTTTTCATAACATGCAATTCTGCTTTAGGCAAGACTTACTGACTGAATCACTTACTCCCTCTGACTAGGGCATTTCAGACTTGTACCTCAACTTTCAATGGTCAGACAATTTTCAGGCTAAACAGACCAGCTGCCTGGAATAGATGGTGCTACAGAGAAAAAAAACATTCCACACTGCTGAATGGGACTTGCATGCTGGATTTTGTTCTAATCCCAAATTAAGAAATCTGGATCCAGCCCTTAAGAGACTACAGCTATTGACTTACCCTTTTGGTCATCCCAGGCCAGAGGATTATGCAGTCTCAACCATTGTACACTCTTGGCTTAGGGCAAAATGTCAGTGTTTATCATCTCCTCAAAATGATTACTCTACTGATCAGCCTTAGTTTATTCTCTCCTGCATTTCAAAACAAAACAAAACAATGTACTAATCACCCACTGGCACTAAGTAATAGCAAGAGAGAGCAATGTCTGGGGACAAATGAAATTAGACAGAGAGCTGTGAATTATCAATGTAGTTCTGGTGATACAGTTCACTTTCACACATGGCATGAATTCCCCATTGGAAACTGTGCAATAGACATTAAATAGGGTGCAGTGATGTATTATCACTCC